TACATCTGTGGGATGAAGCCCAATTGATCATAATGGATGATTTTTTTGGATGTGTTCTTCGATTTAGTTTGTCAGAATTGTTGCATCCATGTTCACGAGTGAAATTGTTCTGTAATTCTCTTTCTTGGTTGAGCCTTTGTGGGGTTTCAGTATCAGGGTAACTGTTGCCTCATAAAAAAGAGTTTGGCAGTGATTCTTCTGTTTCTATTATGTGGAATACTTTGAGGAGTGTAGGAATTAGCTCTTCTTGAAAGTTCTGGTAGAATTCCGTAATAAAACCATACAGGACCTGGAATTTTTTTGATTTGGAGGTTTTTGATGGCAGCTTCTATGTCCCTGCAGCTTATAGGTTTATTTGAATTGCTCTCCTGGTCTTGAGTTAATTTGGTAGGTGGTATCTATCTAAAAAATTGTCCATTCCTTTTACATTTTCCAGTTTTATGGAGTATAGATTTTTGTAGTAGGACCTAATGATTCTGTGAATTTTCTTAGTGCCCATTGTTATGTTCTGCTTTTCATTTCTGATTTTGTTAATTTGGATGTTCTCTCTCTGCCTTTTGATTAGTTTGGATAAGGGTTTGTCAATCTTGTTGATTTTTCTCAGAGAACCAGCTCTCTGTTTCATTGATTCTTTGGTTTATTTTCTATGTTTCTATTTTGTTGATTTCAGCCCTCAACTGGATTATTTCTTGTCATCTCCTCCTTTTGTGTGATTCTGCTTCTGCAAGCTGTTTGGTTGTTGATGTGAGCTTTCTGCATTTTCCTTATGTGGGCACTTAGTGCTATGAACTTTCCTCTTAACACTGCTTTCATAGTGTCCCATAGGTTTTGGTATATATTGTCTTTATTTTCATTGAATTAAAGGAAGATTTTAATTTCTTTATTTCTTCCTAGACCCAGGAGTGGTTCAGTAGTTGACTGTTTAGTTTCCATGCGTTTGTAGGCTTTCTGGGAGTAGTATTGTTGTTGAATTCTAACTTTACTCCATGGTGATCTGATAAGACACAGTGGATTACTTCAATTTATAGTATCTGTGGGTGTTTGCTTTGTTACCAAGAATGTGATCAATTTTAGAGAAGGTTCCAGGAGGTGCTAAGAAGAAAGTATATTTTTTTCTGTTTGAGTGGAATGTTCTATAGATGTCTGTTAAGTCCATCTGGTTCATTACATCTGTTAGTTCTCCTATTTCTCTGTTGAATTTCTTGCTGTTTGGCCTCTCCATTGTTGAGAGAGTGGTATGGGATAATTGTCTGTATTCTGTCAATCATGTTTTACATAAATGCTGATTGGCCAGTCAGGAAGTATAGGTGGGAAAACCAGACAGGAAGTAGAGGTGGAGCAATAAGAATAGGAGTATTTTAGGAAGAAGGAAGCTCTCTCCCAAGTCCTGCCCAGACCACCGAGAAGCAAGATGTAACCTGCTGGCTGAGAAAAGTACTGAGCTGTGTGGCTAACATAGATAAGAATAATGGGTCAATATAAACTAAAAGAGCTAATAAGTAGCCTGAGATAATGGGCCAGTTTATATCTAATGTAGACTCTCTGTGTGATTTCTTTAAAGCTTGCTGGCTGTGGGGTACCTAGTGGGACAGAAAACACAACAAGCAAGCCAGCCCTCATGTTACAAGAGAAGAGTGTTGCAATCTTTTAGAATTAGTGTTTGGGGTTTGCTGTGCGATTCAAGGTCAGTAATGTTTCTTTTACATATGTGGTTGCTCTTGAATTAAGGGCATAGATATTCATGATCGAGACTTCATCTTGATGAATTGTTTCTGTTATGAGTATAAAATGTCCTTCTCCATCTCTTCTGATTGATTTTAGTTTGAAATTAATTTGGCTAGATATTAGAATAGCCACACCTGCTTATTTCTTAGGTCAGTTTGATTGGAAAACCTTTTACCAACCTTTTATTCTGGGGTAGTGTCTGTGTTTGATGTTGAGGTCTGTTTCTTGTAAAGAAAAAAATGCTTGACCTGTTTATATATCTATTCTCTTAGCTTGTGTCTTTTTATAGGTGAATTGAGACCATTGATACTAAGCGATATTAATGACCAGTGGTTGTTAGCTCCAATTATCTTTTGGTAGTAGTCTTTGTGTGTTTGCCTTCTTTGGGTTATACTGGTGGGGGGGGGTTATCAGATGACTGTGTTAATGTGGGTGAAGTTAGCTTCCTTGGGTTGTGGCTTTCCTTCCAGTACTTTCTATAAAACTGATTTTGTGGCAAAGTATTGTTTAAATATGTTTTTGTCATTGAATATCTTCTTTTATCCATCAATGGTGAATGAAAGCTTTGCTGGGTACAGTAGTTTGGGCTTGCATTCATGGTTTCTTTGTGTCTGCAGCACATCTATAAAGAACCTTATGGCTTTTATGGTTTCCATTGAGACATCAGGTGTAATTCAGATAGGTTTTCCTTTATGTTACTTGGCCTTTTTCTTTTTCAGATCTTAATATTCTTTCTTTGTTCTGTAGGTTTTGTGTTTTGATTATTATATAGCAAGGGGAGGTTTTTCCTTTATTTATTAAAAATTTCCACCTCCTCCCATTTCTCTCCCACTACTCCATCCTCCTCCCCCTCCCTCTCCGGTCAAAGAGCTGTCAGGGTTCACTACCCTGTGGGAAGTCCAAGGTCCTCCCCCCCTTCATTCAGGTCTAGGAAGGTAAGCATCGAAACAGATTAGCCTCACACAAAGCCAGTCCATGCAGTAGAATCAAAACCCAGTGCCATTGTCCTTGGCTTCTCAGTCAGCCCTCATTGTCAGCTACATTCAGAGAGTCCGGTTTGATTACAAGCTCCTTCATTCCCAGTCCATATGATCTTGGTGAGCTCCCATTAGATCAGTCCCACCATGTTCATGGGTGGACGCACCCCTCACAGTCCTGACTTCCTTGCTCATGTTCTCCCTCCTTATGCTCTTCATTTGGACCTTGGGAATCTCAGTCCAGTGCTCCAATGTGGGTCTCTGTCTCTACCTCCATCCATCGCCAGATGAAGGTTCTATGGTGATATGCAAGATATTCATCTGTGTGGCTATGGGAGAAGGCCAGTTCAGGCCTTTTTTTTTTTGATACAGTTTATTTGGAGTTCTGTAAGCTTCTTGTACCTTCATAGGCATATCCTTCTTTCTGTTGGGAAAGTTTTCTTCTATAATTTTGTTGACTATATTTTCTGTGTCTTTGAGCTGGAATTCTTTTCCTTTTTCTACCCCTATTATTCTCAGGTTTTGTCTTTTCATGTTGTCCCAGATTTCCTGAATATTTGTGTTAAGAATTTGTTGGATTTAGTGTTTTATTTGACCACTGAGTTTATTTCCTCAATAGAACCATCCACACCTGAGATTCTTTCTTCCATCTGTTGTATTCTATTTGTTATACTTGTCTCTGTAGTTCCTGTTCATTTACCCAGATTTTCCATTTCCAGATTTCTCTAAGTTTGTGTTTTCATATTACCTCTATTTCAATTTTCAAATCTTGAATTGTTTCCTTCACCTGTTTGATTGTTTTTCTTGGTTTTCTTGGGTTTCTTTAAGTCATTTATTAATATCTTTCAGCTTTTTGTTTGTCTTCTCCTCTGTTTCTTTAAGGGAGTTTTTCACTTCCTCTTCAAGGGTCTCCGTCATTTTCATTAAGCAATGTTTAAAGTCATTTTCTTCTATATTTTCTGGGTTAGGATGATCAAGTCTTCCTGTTGTGTGTCCACTGGATTCTGGTGGTACCATGTTGCTTTTTAGGACACTGGAGGATTTCTTGCATTGAAGCCTTCCCATCTCTTCTTTCAGCTCTTATATCTCTTTTGTCGATCAAGAATTGGTCTCCATTGAGCTCACAGGTAAAAACTCGTTGGAGGTGATGTAGATGATTGTCTGGCAGACCATCAACCTGCTAGTGCTAGGAATGCCTAAAGCACCTGAAGAGGGAGCCTGAACTTTCTCCCATGTGGAGGTTTTAGGGAGTAGGAGTATAGGGTCCCAGGGACACTGTTGTCTCACCTCCTATGTCCATCAAGTATTGGTCTCCATGGAGCTCTCAGGGAACATCACAGTGGGACCAGGTTAGATTGTTGTTTCCTGTAAGTCTTTACCTAGAAACCTTGCTCTTAAGGATATTTTAAAATTTTGGTGATGTGAACAAAAGAAAGGTTTATGTTATACTTGAAATAATTTTTACTAACAAGCCATCCTGGATAAATTTTCCAAAAAAGATCAAGAATCTCTATCTTATTGTGAATGGTGTCACATTAAATCTTATGTATTTTCAGAAGAAGTTTCTTTTCTAAATAAATGCATTTAAGTCTTAAAACATATTTTTATCTGCAAAGAAAGTTGAAAAATCTGACAACTGAATTATACATATTCTACAAAGTATACACTAGAGTTCCAACAAATATTAATTACATTTCTGACAAACTAAGCAATTTAGATCCACATGAGAAGGTTTTTCTCAATAAAATCAGACTGAAAATAAATCATAGCAGTTTTACTTGGGAAGATTCTTATACAGGAAATGATGCTATTAAACCCCTTTCTAAGAGTTTTAGGAAGAATAGGTACCAGGACCATCAGTTAATGGAATAAATGCTCAAAACACTGCATCACAGTAAGTGTGTGCTCAGTATTTAAATACAGAGTAGGACTCTGTTTTTCCTGAGAAGTGTAAGGAGACTTGTGATTATAACCCACAACATTTTTTGTTCCAGTATGATGAGATACAAGAGAAGCATTATATAAACAATCCAAATGAAAAGACAAAATACAACTATAAAGAATTTGGAATGAGCTTCAACAGATTTTCATGCCTCACTAGTCAAAAGAGAATTAATTTCAAAGATAAGTCACATGAATGTAAAAACTGTGATAAATCATTTCCCCATCATGCAAGTCTTCAAGCTCACCAAAGAATCCATTTTAGTGACAAACCTTACAGATGTCAAGAATGTGGGAATTCTTTTACCCATGTCTCAAACCTACACAGACATCACAAACTTCATACTGATGAGAAACCTTACAGATGTCAAGAATGTGGCAAGTCCTTTTCTCGTCATGAACATCTTCAAGCTCACAACAGAATCCATACTGGTGAGAAACCTTACAGATGTCAAGAATGTGGCAAGTCCTTTACTCATCATGCAAATCTTCAAGCTCACCACAGAATTCATACTGGTGAGAAACCTCATAAACGTCAAGAGTGTTCCAAGTCTTTTAACCATGTCTCAACACTTCACACTCATCAAAGAGTTCGTACTGGTGAAAAACCTTACAGATGTCAAGAATGTGACAAGTCCTTTACCAAAATCTCACACCTTCACAGCCATCAGAAACTCCATTTTGGTGAAAAACCTTACAAATGTCAAGAATGTGGCAAGTCCTTTACTCGCCATGCACATCTTCAAGATCACCATAGGATCCACACTGGTGAGAAACCTTACAGATGTCAAGAATGTGGCAAGTCATTTACTCGTCATTCACATCTTCAAAATCACCACAGGATCCACACTGGTGAGAAACCTTACAGATGTCAAGAATGTGGTAAGTGTTTTACCTGTGTCTCAAACCTACACAGACATAACAGAATCCATACTGGTGAAAAACCTTACAGATGTCAAGAATGTGGTAAGTGTTTTACCTGTGTCTCAAACCTACAAAAACATCACAGAATTCATACTGGTACAAAACCTTACAGATGTCAAGAATGTGGCAAGTCATTTACTCGTCATTCACATCTTCAAAATCACCACAGGATCCACACTGGTGAGAAACCTTACAGATGTCAAGAATGTGGTAAGTGTTTTACCTGTGTCTCAAACCTACACAGACATAACAGAATCCATACTGGTGAAAAACCTTACAGATGTCAAGAATGTGGTAAGTGTTTTACCTGTGTCTCAAACCTACAAAAACATCACAGAATTCATACTGGTACAAAACCTTACAGATGTCAAGAATGTGGCAAGTCCTTTACTTATCATTCAAATCTTCAAGTTCACCACAGAATCCATACTGGTGAGAAACCTTACAGATGTCAAGAATGTGGCAAGTCCTTTACAATATGCTCAAATCTGAGAAGGCATCAGAAAATTCATGAAATGGGTCCTCTTCTTAAAATTCCTTAGTATAACTCACACCAATTCAATTTAACAGTCTTCATACACTGAACAAGTTACTCCACAGACTCAAATCCTGCAATTACTTTCCAAGCTTAGTTTATAAATATCTGTCACTACATTTCTCATAAATTTAGAAACATTATGTCCAGATTTGAACTTTATAGTCATGAAACATTCATTGTAAAATGAATTAATTATGTACCATTTGGGGGGACATAATAATTCAAATATCAAATATCAATAAGTAAATATTTCTAGTAGGAATGAATTTATCAATAAAATTTTTTTGAGTGTATGTCAAGATAATGTGTTTAAAAACCAGCCAAAATCACACTCTTCCATATTTTGATGCATGTTTTAGATCTTGGCATATGATTGTTTAGGTAATGTGATTATATTCTACATAAACATTATTTTCCTGTAATTATTTGTGATTTCATATAAATAACTGCTCATTTTGTACTTAAAGTATTTTCTTTCTTTGCAATAAAAATGTTAAATATTTTAGCCATTTTTTGCATTTCTTTGTTTTTATAGTTTATTCTTTAATAGTAGGGTAACATTAATTTGACCTGTCCCATGGGTGATAGCAACAGCCTAAATATGTCATAATGAAGAAGTAGATTTTTCCTGGGACATGTATATGCTATGAACATGTATTATTGTGATTGACATAATAGGAAGTAAATGAACAGAAGCTAAGTAGGAGATATGTGCAGGTCCTGCAGGGAGGTAGTGACAGTAGGAGGAGGAATTGAGGCAGGCAAGTTTCCACCAGTGATGGAGGAAGCTGGATGTGTGTTGTGTGGCAAAACATAGAGTAACAATACATGTATTAATTAATTGGGATTTTGTTCTGACTTGCCCTTGTTCGGCTCTCATGTTTCTAATTCCAAATATCCCAAGGTGTGCTGAAACAGTGCTTCTTTATAGTCATCCATCACCTTTGACCCTTACCATCTCTAATAATTCTGTCCTGAATTGTCCTTTGAATTGCCTGGAGGGAATGATATTGAAAAGACACTTAGAACTGAACAATTTTTTATTGTCTGAACTTTACTGCAGGTGAGTCTCTCTTTTAGCAGTAAATGTATGCAGGTATTTTCTGTGATGTAGGCTTAGTGGAAAAAGATAGATAACATGGATAATTTTAAACCTTAAACTTAAAGCAGAATAATCGTAGCATGTGGTACTTTCTAACTTTTGGTAACTCTTCTAGAACAAACATGAATTCTATTCTTCTCAAATAATTGTACAAACTTGAAGCAGAGGGAACAGTGTGACATTCTTTTTATGAGGAAACTTATCTCGATACCCAAGCCACATAAAATTCACCAAAAAGTGATTGATAGAACATTTTTAGCTTTTTGAGGCAATTCCACATTGATTTTATTCTGCTTGACCATAATGTGAACTCTCAAATTTGTGAATAAATTATTACCCTTTCTCCAGCCATACAGCACTATTTTTATCCTTTATTAATGTTGTTATTTTTCTTAGTCCTTCTGATATGGGAAAGAATTGCAAAGGATAGCTTTTTAGTTCCACTTATGTTCTAGAATCACTTTCAGCTGTTTAGCTCACAATGTTATTTTCCTAATCTTAACGCAGTCTCTTCTTTCAAAAGTTAGTAGTCTGCTATGTATGAATGACTGTTGGTTTTATGAAGTCTCATTTGTCACTACTGGGTCTTAAGTGCTATGGTCCAGGGATCTTTGCTAGAAAGTCCTCTTCTTTGCCCACTGTGAATGCTTGATTATTCTGTCTTTATAAGAGAACATTGAAAATTTGTATTCCCTTAATTTCCCTTTGGTGTCTTATTGCTCTATTTAGGACATCACGAATTATATTGAGTAGGTATGGAGAGAGTGTACAATCTTGTCTTGTTCCTGATTTCAGTGGAATCCCTGGGAGTTTCTCTCCATTTAATTTGATGTTGTCTGTTGGCTTGCTGTATATTGCCTTAATTATGTTTAGGTATGTTCCTTGTATCCCTGTGCTCTCCAAGACCTTTATCATAAAGGGATGTTGTATTTAGTTACATGCTTTTTCAGCATCTAATGACATGATCTTAGTTTCTATGAATTTTCCACATCACTAAATTATGTTTGTAACCTAAGCTAATGTATACATGAGACCTTAAATTAACCTCTTCCACAATAAATGCTAAATACAATAGAGAGATATAACATGATACTCAATGGTGTTTGTAGTACTCTCTGTTATTAGTATTAAGTGGTGTCAAGGGGTTTCACAGACAAATCCTTGTGAAATTATTTAAAGACTTCAGGACAGTATTTCCCAAACCTTTCCCTTCTGATATTCCTTGTTCTGTTCAATAAAAATGACAGAATAAAGCCCTTTTTATGGACAAATACATACACAGGCACAATGACAATTTCATAAGAGAACCTTCAGGAAGGCATGGTTCTGGCCCATAAAACAGAGAGTATAAAATTGATGACATCAGGTGAGTGAATTAGGTTATTTTAATCTGGGGTTGTTACTGGTCACAGGACAAATGGGAGAAATGACTTCCTGATTTTGGTCTATAAAACACCAATACATTATAGGCGAGTCTGAGTGTAATATTAATATGTTTAAACTGGAACATTTTGGTGTTGTATGTGAGTAATCTCAATTTCATTAAATATTTCTAATAAAGAAATGGTATCTTCATAGAAGAGAATTTGTCAAGAATGTATGAGCCAGAATGTGGGGGGAAATATATAAAATCTTCTTTAAGATATGACACTCGCACATGTGGCTATAAATGTATATATATATATATATATATGGAATTATGAAAAATACATAAAATAAACTACAGACAACCATTAGTCTTATACATGCTACTGCCCTGAACTGATCACCAGCTAATCATAAAAATCACCTGTATCTTTCAAACTTGTACAGATATTGTGTAAGCCACCTGAAAACACATTACAAATGCATTTTTAGCTACTTGGTGTCCTTCATTACCTGTCCCAACATCTTTCATATATACCTTTTCTTTATCACTTATGTTTAAGTAAAATGCTTTATCCTAACAATAGAATCCTCATTGGAATTATGATATGCACAATATCTACTTTTGATACATATCAGAATATATATGTCCATATGAATGTATCATAACATAGAGTGATAATATTCTACAACATATCCTTGACTAGCAAAATGTCATGAAAAGAATGTTAGACATTTTACCATGTGCCTAAGTAAAAAGTTTTTTCTTAAACTATGGAAACAGAAGTTCATCATGAAACATAAACTGTTTGATATCTTCTGAAACATAGTCTCTAAATTATGCTCTGTACAAACAAAACCATAGGCTATAATTAGGACAGGTGCATATGTGACCAAGATTGTCTGAACCCTACCCATACCCTATATGGTTTCCTTACCACCTGTATGATTTTCACCATTGTGGATGAGCTGTCATTTCTCTTTCTCAAGATATTTCTCTTTTTCAAACTGAATATTTATCCATAGTTTTTCTTCTCCCATGGAAACAAGAGCAAAACCCCTTCCCAAACATAGCACATCTCATGGCTTCCATTGTGAGGTCAACACATCTTTGAAATACACTGGATGATTTAATTCAGATGACTTTTATACTATCCAATGTCTCTCTGCTGCTGCTGTTCCTTTCTTATTAGCGTTAAGATAATTCAATGTTAATAAAGCAGTATGTAATCTATTTCTGGGGGCATTTTCTATCCTGTTCTTTTTGTTTCACATGTCCTTTCTGGTTTGATTTGATCTTTCTATGACCACCTGACTGATAGGATTGTGTGGTATACCTGTAATGTGCTTAATATTATAGTAAGAAAAATACTGTTTCATTTTTTAGAGACAAATTCTGGACCATTATCTGTCTTTATTTCTGCAGGTATACCCATGACAGCCATAGCTTCTAATAAATATGTAATTACTCAACCTGTCTTCTCTGTGCTTTAAGCAGTTGCCTACTGAAAATCTGAATATGTGTCAATTGTTTGGTATACATATTTTAATTTTTTCAAATTCTGCAAAGTGCAACACATCCATTTGTCAGATTTTATTCCTTTGAGAACCCTTTTGGTTACTCCTTGCAGATAATGGTATTTGGTTGTAGAAAGAGCAAGTAGGACATCTCTTTATAATCTCTTTCGCTTGTTTCCATGTAATAGAAAACTCTTTCTTTAAACATTAGCCATTTACATGATGTTTCTTATGGAATTCTGAGTAATTCAATACACTTCAATCAGTAATCGATCAATTTCTGCATTACCTTGTGCTGGAGGACCTAGAAGACCCATATGGGATCAGATGTGTGTTATGTATATGGGACAAAGCCGATTCCTGATTACTTCTTGAACCTGTATGAATAATGAGGTCAGTTCTGTATCATCTAGTATAAATCCAGTAGTTACAATATGCAAAACAACTGTTTCTGCATTTTGTGAATCAGTAACTAAATTGAGAGGTTCTTTACAATTCCTTAGCACCATGAAAATAACATATAATCTGCTTTTTGGACAAAATTGTAAGGGCTTTGTTCCACCTAACTTAATTTTTTTCTGATTTGTAACCTGCCTTCCCTAATTTATTTGCATCAGTATAAAATGTACAGGCTCCAGTTATTGGAGCATCACATACAATTCAGGGATAAATCTGAGAAACTGTTATTATAAGGATCAGTCTGTTGCTTTTGGAATAATTACTATTAATTTCTCCCAAAAAATTAGCACAACTCTTTATTATGGTTCATTGTCTTCCCATAACTTCTTTATTTCATCAGTAGTAAAGACACTATAATCTCTACCTGCTAATTGATGAAGTCTCAATATATATTTTATAATTAATAAAGATAATTTTTCCACAAGTTTTTAATTTTTTACTTTGTTTATGTGGTATAAGATCCATTCTAAGATAATATTGTCCTTCTGCATTAAAATTCCTGCAGGAGAAATTTGGATAACAACATAACTAGAATACAATTAAGATTTGGATTAGCTCTA